TTAAGCTTCATAGTTTAAAATTAATCGATCTAATTAGTGTTACTTTTATTTTCAAACCTCATTGATTTGGGTCATTAAGAAATGGAATTGGAAGGACAGGGCTGTGTGCTAGTTAAATAATTCAATCTGTAGAGTTCAAGTTCCCAAGGTAGAATTCCGATTCTGCTGTTCTTAAGCGGGGTGACTTTGGCAAATTCCCCAGCCTCTCTCAGCCTGTTGCCTTACCTGGAAAACGGGAATTGGTTCATGTACCTCCCAGTTTTGTTTTAAAGATTAAGTAATACAGGAAATACAAGTGCCTCTCATTAGTGCTGGTGCGGCACATGTAAATATTCAATCCAAGATAGCTGTTATCATAAGGGCAGGTCTGGGAGGATGCCACATGTGGGCAAGGACTCTGCCCCACCTTGAAAGTTTGTCTATGGCAAGCTCAGCTCAGAGCAGAGTGTCTGCCCAGACTCCTTTGTGTTCACAGTGATAGGAAATGTGGGGCTCTTGCTAGAGGTATTTCTCAGTCACTGCCACATACCCCACTTATCTCTAGCCAACATCACCTCTGCCCACTGAAGAGAGAACAGAGAGTAATTTAAAAGATAAAGTAGGTATCGCCTCTCATCCACGTGGTGCTGTGCAGTTCATGAAGATCCTTCAAATGTGATCTCATCGAGACTCCACCCGAAACCATATGCTGGCATTTTTTTTTATTATTATTATTTTTATTGGGGAGTTGGGGGAAGGGGAACAGACAAGTTGCTGTTGTTTTGTTCTTCAGTCTAGTTGTGGAGGACGTTGCTTCACTGGCCCAAGTATGTGGGATCCGAACCGGGGCCCTCTGGTGTCCCAAGCCAGTTCTTAACCATCGCGCCACTCGGCCGGCCCCATATGCTAGCATTTTTATCTCTATTTTACAGTTGACAAAACTAAGGTCCAGATATGTTTAAATGACCAACCCCAGGTCACAGAACTGAGAAGTAGCTATGATTCAAAACTACACCTTTTGATTACAAGTCTAGTGCCTTTTCTAACACATGGGTCCTTCAAGTTAGTAGGCTATTTGGTTTCCCGTATTTCCTCCCCTTTTCTGCCAGAAAATGCAGCTGCTTTTAGTCCTCTCTGCCACAGGCTCTTCCTTTTCCTGGGAAAGGAAGACCTCAGGCATATATACAGCTTGGGTCTGTCCTGCTTTTTTTTTTTTTAATCCAGGGAAGCGGAGGTGGGAGTAGTTTCTGAGATGAGAGAGAATCACCTCGAACCTGGTAATCATTTCTAATTGCTGTGTAAATTTAAAAAGGAATATCATTCTCCAGTCTAACAAAATAATAATTATTCCTTTGTGTCATCTAATGTCCATTTTATGCTTAAATTTCTTCCAGCTGTCTCAGAAAAATCTTTTTTCTTACAGTTGGTTTGTTTGAACAAGGATCCAAACAAAGTTAACATTTGTTTAATATGTCCCTTAAATATCTTTTATTGCAACTTATGCTATTAAAAAGAATCTTTAAAGGGATGGGAAACTTTACTGTTGCTGAACTGTTTACAAAGTGATTGTACCAATTTCACTCCTACCGAGTTTATGAAAACTCCACTTCCTCTCCCATTTTTGGGGATTGTTAGACATTTTACCTTTTGCCTATCTCATAGTAAGCCCCATTCTAAAGAAATGAGATGTGAGCCTAGTCTTCAAACAGTGTGTAATCAAGTGTTTTAGATATAAAAATTTCATGCTATTTGAATATAATTATATGCCCTCACCCCATCTGAAAGTCACTGGTTTAAACTCCTGAGTACACTAGGACTTTCCTTTATTTATTAATGAAAGAATGAAGAAGACAGTGAGGTAATTATGTACTATTTAATATTTCCTAGGGAAGATAAGCCTAGTACTGACTTTTCCCTCCTATTATGATCCTTTTTAACACATAAAATTCAAGGGACCAAATGTTGATCTCACCATGAGGATTGTCAAGATTTCTGCAACCCTTTTCTTCCTTATTAGTATGTGTAATGGCAGGTTGTTGGTTCTGATGATGTCATAATGCTTTGTTTGTGGGGTCATCTGATGTCACTTATACCTTAGGGAGAATCAGCTTTTAAACAGTGACCCTTAGATGGTAAAAATCTGACCTCCTGGAGCCATTTTCTGACGTCATAGGGATAAAAAAATCTCCAGGAGAAAATAAATTGGAAAAGCTTTCCTCTTTCGTTGGAATACATGGGTTTTACTCCCAGTTGAAATGTTGCCAATGCACTGGGCTAACACCTGATGTGCTTCTGGATGATTCTTGGTTGCCAAGAGCCTCCGAACGTTCTTAAGAACACAGTCATTTCACACAACAAAGGGAAAGCCAGCCCATTTCTGGCAATGAAGTTGGAAGTCTGAGAGGAAAAAAAGGGTACTAATGTAACTTCCTCTGTAGTGACGATGAATAGTGTGTTTATTCTTATAACATAGAATAATTGGTGTATTTTAAAGATCTTTTTCCTTTGTGAACACATTTTACATTAGGGAATTTCAAAGAGAACACAATCTAGCTTAAGAGCGGAAAGGATGATATCCTCCACTGCTCTTGTATTTAAACCTTAACTTCTAGAGATTTCTAGAAGATCTCTTAGTAAAATGACAAATTTTAAGCTTTCATTCTGGTAAAGGAAAAGTTGTCCACTCAATGTGTCAGCTTACTACTTAATTTTTTAGAGCTAGAACACGATGTGCAAGCCTTTGGCTTCCATCTTCGTCTTATAAACCAACATCCTGAACTCTGTAATAGCTTTTTAAAAACGTGGCTTCTGATAAATGTTGGCAGAGCTGGTGCATTCCCAGAATAAATTCCGTGTGTGCAGCTTTCCCTACTCAGATACATCCCCTAGGTCGAATGACCACAAAACTGCCCACCATGAAACAGGTTGAAGAGAAATCTGGATGTGATAGAAAATATGTGCATATTATCACGTGACGCTGGTACTAAAAAAAGAAATTCATGTCTAGGGGCAAATGTCTCATCCAATGTCAATGCTGTGACAACCGTAACTATTGCTGATACACACGTGAACTTTTAAATTGAGGGGTCGGGGTGGAAGGGCGGAAATCGCCCACAGACGAAAAAAACTTCAAAATTTTCTCTTCGCTTTTGGGCAAGTTTCAGCTCTGCAAATCTATCCTTGTCTTGAAAGCAAAATGCTGTTCTGCTTTGAATTCTCATCTCATTGTACAAAGAAATCTGTGTATCTCTTCCCCAGATAGGAATATGAGAAGCCTTTCAGATTCAAAAAGTCCAAAAAAGCAGCCCCACGGAAACTTTGTATCTGTCCCCAAGGGTGTGAAAGTGGGCGCCGTGGTGTGGAAAAGATCCGAAAGGGAAACATCTGTAAACCAGACACCTGTGGTTGGAAAAACAAAAACCCAAAAACCCAAAACTCACGGGGTCAGGACAGCATCAGGATCTCGAGATACAGACAACTAAAAACAACCGCGGCCAGATCAGAACCGGAGCGGCCTTTCCCAAGCGATCGGGATGGCGGGTGGGCTCGCTGCGGGCGCCAGAGAGCTGGATGGAACGGGGGACACTGACAGCGCGGCCCCCCCCGCCCCGCCCGCCCCTCCCCGCGGGCGTCCGGCGCGCCAGCCAATCCCTCTCACGCGATTCCCGTCCATCGGAAGCCCCGCCCCCCGCGCCCGGGACGCTGGGCCCCCGCGGCGTGACGTAAGCGCGGCAGCTCCGCCCCCTGCGTCTCTGGCCTCGCCAGCCTTGGGGGGGGAGGGGGGGCATGGTTCCATCATGGCGTCAATGCAGGTGAGAGGAGTTTGCAGCATCTGGGCGGGCGAGGGAGCCGCGGCGAGGATGGGAGCGCCTCGTCTGGGGCGGCACCCGGGACTCCGGGGCACCCCGGCGGGCTCGGGAGCGGCCCTGGCGGCCGGTCCTTCCCCAGCGGCAGGGCGTTGGGGAGNGGGCAGTGTCACTGGCCCTCATATGTGGGATCCGAACCGGGGTCCTCTGGCATCCCAAGCCAGTTCTTAACCATCGCGCCACTCGGCCGGCCCTCGAGATACTGTTTGATTAATTTTTTTTGCAAGAACATTTCATGTTATTTCCTATCGTACCATCTACAGGAGACACAGAATATCTGGTTGCCCCACTTTTACTGATATTGAAATCGATCAGTTGGTTCAGGTGTGTCAGTAGGATCCATCCATTACAAGTTCCCCCTCAACTTTTCACCTGATCGTTTTAGCACCTGATGATTAGATGATTAATGCCAGGCTCCGTTATTTCATTAAGGTTTGCAAAATTATAATTATTCTTTCTTTGTAGCTTTCATGTGCAATAGCTGAAAATTTTCTATAAAGAACTCCCCTTTATCATTCATTTGGTTACTTTGAAATATAATTTGTATAGTAAAGGTAGAGAAAGCTTAATGTTTCTCCCAATGAGTTGGTGACTTAGCAAACTCCAAAGGTGACCAATGTGGGATTTTTTTAGTATCATTATGAATTTATGACACTATGATTGTGTATGTATGTGTATATAGGTAGATTATATCTAGATATACATAAATACATACGTATTTCCATGTATATAATTATGTGCTTCAGTTTATTGCAGTCCTTGCTTTTTTGCTGCTCAAACCATCTTATCTTTGGCCAGAAAAGCCCCTTCAAAGTTGAGTTCTCTAATAATTTTAAACTCTTTGTTCTTTTTAATTTCATTTGAAAAAGCCAATTAAGCAAAAGAAGCCAGCAACAGGATGAAGTTTAATATTTACCCCAGTGATTCTAAGTTTCCACTTAAGTAATCCTAGGTATGCACTTGAATGTCAAGGAGTCTATTTGAAATCACTTACCAAACAGTAAAATTCATGCTCTAGGAAGATGTATTGAATTTATCTTCCCGTTTCATATACTCTGTCATACCCTAGTATTATATATTTTCCCCAGGCCTATGGTATTATGATTTAAGAAGCTCTTAGGAGTATTCCTCAACATCTAAACATATGACCCACACTGCCTCCCCTCTTCAAACTCCTGTCTCCCTCGCTACTCCGGTGAGTATATGAAAATACTCAAATCTATTTCTGAAAACAAACAAGAAACAAAACTCCCCCTTACTCTTGACCTTGCATTTTTCTCTTATCTGGTACAATCTAATCTCCCTGTCTCTCTTCTTAGCTAAGCCTCTTGATATCTCTGTATCTTACCAGTTCATTTCACCATTCAACAAGTAATCTGAGGCAGATCACTGATGTACAACCACATTGCCAGTTCAGTTTTTAGTTTGTTTGTTTACAAATCCTCTTGGATGAATTTACTGACAACCTACTCCCTCCTCCAGACTTTTGGCTACTAGGCCATTCTCTTCCTCTTAAATGTTGGCGCTCCCTTAGCCTCTGACCTCAGCATCATGTTCTTCTTTCTCTTACTCTCTCTTGGGGTGATCTCCTTATTTTCATGCTTTCGAGTGGAACCATTTTACTGAAGGAGCTGGACTCCATGTGCAGCTGTATCCCACTGTGCTTTCAAACCTGCTTCATGGGCTTTCCTTGCCCTGGATGAAATCTCAGCAAGATGCCAGAACTCCTCCAGTCCCTCTGTTACAAGATTAGTCTTCTATCAGTCATTAAAAATTTCAAGCCATCTAATGTTATAATCCACAACTTCACTTAAATGAAAGCTCCATACCCTCTCCAGCTTAAGGCCTATGATGTATAGAATTGCCTGCCTAATTAATATATTCCCTTTAGATGTAGTAGTGGGTTTCTGTACTTTTTCTCTCTTCTAGTATCACTCTTACCTCCCCTCATTCTAGCATAAACAGCCTTTTTCTTAGGGGAAGGTTTCTCTCTACATGTGATTTGGGTGGGCTGACCTGACTCTCACCCATGCCATGAGACCCAACCAATCAGAGTACCTCACCTCTTTCATCACTGATTGGTTGAGAGAGAGAGCTGATTAAAGCTAAGCCAATCAGAGCCCCTCTCAGATCTTCACTATTAGAACTATCCACTGGTGTTACTGAGCAGGATATTTATAGGCTGGATGAAGCTGGAGACTAAAGGCCAACCTTTTCACCACAGAGACTGAAAGAAGAGTCCTCCATATCAGTTAAGCGTCTGTTCTCAGGATTTCCTAGTGAATTAGTTTCAGATAGATTTTACAACTTCCACATGAAAAGGGTATGACAGATGTCTTATAGGAAACTTAAAATCCTCAAACGTGTCCAAAATCATTTATTTTCCCCTTTCATTTCTTCTATTTCTACCAACTCTTGTATTTTCAAATTAGAAACCCGACACTCCACTCTTTCCTTGTGCCCTACAGACAACAAATCTCAGTCCTGTCGATTCCCCTTCCTAAATATCTCGAGTCCTTTATCCTTCCTCTATGGGCCCTAGTCCAAGCCTTTACCCTCCATCTGTCACACCCTTCCAATAGCCTCCTTTTCTGATTTTTTTTTTTCTGATCTTACCTAATCAAATCTGTTTGGCCACCAGAGCAGTCACTAGAAAACACAAATCTGGCCTCACCACTTCCCACTTGAAAATACCTCAAATTTACCACATGGTTTCTAAGATTAAGTCAGCCAACCAAGCATTCTGTGACCAGGTCTTGCCTGCCTCGTCTTCCATCCAGCTTTCATCAGTTTCCTTTGGGCGATAAACTGTCATCCTCTGTAAACACCAATTACGTGGTTCATGCTCCCTCCGCCTAGAAAGCCTGTCTTCTCCCCCTTTTCCCCTCTGCTCAGGTCTTGGCCCTTCCAGGAAACACTTTCAGCTCCTAGGCAAGACCACGTGACCCTCACTTACGATCCCATTGTAGCCAGTAAGTAGTTTTTTCCATGTTCTATCAAAATCCTTTTCATGTTTTCCTGATGGTAAGCAATGTGAATATGGGGACAGTATGTTACCCGTCTTTCTATCCCCAGTGCCTGCCGTTCAATATATGCTTTTTGGTCAAGATTACCAACTTTTTTTTTTTTTTTTGTATTTTGTCAAACTGAAAATTCACCAAATAGATATATTTGGGGGCATCAGATATTCTGGGTGAAATGTAAAATCCACCTTGCCCGTTAAGCTTCATAGTTTAAAATTAATCGATCTAATTAGTGTTACTTTTATTTTCAAACCTCATTGATTTGGGTCATTAAGAAATGGAATTGGAAGGACAGGGCTGTGTGCTAGTTAAATAATTCAATCTGTAGAGTTCAAGTTCCCAAGGTAGAATTCCGATTCTGCTGTTCTTAAGCGGGGTGACTTTGGCAAATTCCCCAGCCTCTCTCAGCCTGTTGCCTTACCTGGAAAACGGGAATTGGTTCATGTACCTCCCAGTTTTGTTTTAAAGATTAAGTAATACAGGAAATACAAGTGCCTCTCATTAGTGCTGGTGCGGCACATGTAAATATTCAATCCAAGATAGCTGTTATCATAAGGGCAGGTCTGGGAGGATGCCACATGTGGGCAAGGACTCTGCCCCACCTTGAAAGTTTGTCTATGGCAAGCTCAGCTCAGAGCAGAGTGTCTGCCCAGACTCCTTTGTGTTCACAGTGATAGGAAATGTGGGGCTCTTGCTAGAGGTATTTCTCAGTCACTGCCACATACCCCACTTATCTCTAGCCAACATCACCTCTGCCCACTGAAGAGAGAACAGAGAGTAATTTAAAAGATAAAGTAGGTATCGCCTCTCATCCACGTGGTGCTGTGCAGTTCATGAAGATCCTTCAAATGTGATCTCATCGAGACTCCACCCGAAACCATATGCTGGCATTTTTTTTTATTATTATTATTTTTATTGGGGAGTTGGGGGAAGGGGAACAGACAAGTTGCTGTTGTTTTGTTCTTCAGTCTAGTTGTGGAGGACGTTGCTTCACTGGCCCAAGTATGTGGGATCCGAACCGGGGCCCTCTGGTGTCCCAAGCCAGTTCTTAACCATCGCGCCACTCGGCCGGCCCCATATGCTAGCATTTTTATCTCT